TTGTCTTGTACGTTATATTTGAGGTATACCCGGAGCCTTGTTACCGGCAGTTCCATTTTACATTACTCTTGAGTTATGTTTAGAGGCTCCGTAGACAGGTTGTGGGTAGTGTCGGGTAATGGAAATAATGTAAAAACATTGATGTTTGGCAAAGATTTATAAAACTTGAAAACATTGATGTTTGGCAAAGATTTATAAAACTTGTAATATTTTGATAATTATGATTTAAATTGCTAATGGAAATTAAATGAAAGTTGTTAATGAAATACTTACTAAATATGATTAATGGCCTTGCTCAGTCGGGTTTACTCGGTTGAGCGCCGGTCGCGCTCCTCGCATTTTGGGGCGTGACACGTAAGACCTCAAAGAGGCATCCCCTCGATATAAAGGCCAAGGCCATCATACTCTAGGACTAACCTTTCGATATCGGGAACAAGTCCAAAAGACATACCCGAAGGCTATGGCCATATTAAAGGCTACGGCCATATTAAAGGCTACGGTCATATAAAAAGGCTACGGCCAAAATAATGCGGCTCGGAGACGTCCGACTTCCGCCGTAAAATTAAAGGCCTTCAAACACTTTGAAAAACCGACTAAATTAGACTACCCTCGGCAAAAGCAAATGATAAAGGGCTTCGATAAAATCAGCCCTCGAATAATTTAAAGGCTTCGATAAATCAGCCTTCGAAAAAACCTCAAGAGGTATTCGATTATCGTTACACAAATGAATTACAAATGAGTTTCCAATCGATCGAACCTTCGAAAAAAACAACGGGTACAAAAAACACATGCTAAGGCATAGAAAATGTTTTACTAAGTCTTTTAGCCGAAAAGAGGGAAAAATTATAGCCACTCTAGAGGCCGAATTGGCCCAACTTAAAGAGCCTAAGGGCCAACCTAAAAGAGCCTAAGGGCTAATATAAAAGAGCCTAAGGGCCGAAGCATGCGGAGTTCGAGACCTTACTCTCACTCAACTCGGACTCAAGAGTCCCATCATCCCGAGCTCGCGTCAAATCGACTCAAGTTTAGCTCGAGGATTAACAAAAACCTTAAGAGGTATTCTATTATAAAGATCGCCCATTGATCAATAAAAAACCTAAGGGTTTATTATATTCTGAGTCCAAGCCAATATTCTGACTGATCATTAGGGTTATAACATCAATTTTTTTCAAATGAAGACGAAACAGAATTCAACACAAATCGAAGATGAAGCAAAGAGGTTCTTTATATTTATAAGAGATGTTTATAAAAGATATTTACAGTACCCACGAGGGGCCCTTACACAAAAACAAGGAAACAAAAAAGAACCTAATCTATTTCAGGGCCACATCTTCGGGAGCAACATCCTCAGGAACTGCATCCTCGGGAGCTGTATCTTCGGGAACCTCCTCCTCCTCGGGGACTCCTTCCTCATCTTCCCCGCCCTCAGAACCACTAACGGCATCTTCATCATCGGAAGAAACGAGAAGCCTGGCATCGGTTTCCAGCGCCTTTGCTTGGGCTATTTCTTCAGTGAGGTCGAACCCTCGGGCGTGGATTTCTTCGAGAGTCTCCCTCAGGGCTTGGCACTTGGCCAAATCATTACTACGTTTTTCCCGGTCGGAGGCCTCCCTTAGCTCCACTTGAACAGCCTCGGTGTCCCTTAATTATAAGGCAATGGTCTTATCAGCCGTAGCCTTCATCTTCTCAACTTCAGTCTTGGCATGCGCGACTTCAGCCTTGGTCCTAGCAAGCTTTGCCTCTAGCTCCTCAATTTTCTTGTCCTGGGCCAGATTCTTCACTTTAATGCCTCGGAGTTGAGTTTCAGCCGAGGCCAATTGGGCTAGAACAACTTCTTTATCGGCAGCAAGCTGATCCATGCTCTCTTTCCATCGGTGGCAGTCAGCCTTACCCTGATCGACCTCGCCCCGGAGCTGCGCAATCATCTCCAACTTTTGCTGCAGCTGAGACATCAAAGTGTTAGCCTCCGTAGTAGGACTAAGAAGTCCATACTATGTTAAATTCACGGTTACCTGCTCGTCTAGCTCGACCTCGTTTTTTCGAGCTTTGGCCAAGTCAGCCCGAAGGTCTTTGAGTTCCTCCTCCTTTTGGCTACAGAGGAGCCTCAGGGCCTTCTCTTCACCCGAAGCCTTCCTGAGCTCGGCCTCACATTGGCTCCCCTTGGCCTTGAACTTGATGATGGCCTACATATGAAATGAAGACACGTCAGTCAAAAGAAGGGGAGAAAAAAGAAAATTACAACAATAAGAGTTCGTGTTTACCCGAGAGAAGAGATGTTGAGCCTCCTCGAAGAGGGTGGATGCATCATTAAGGTCAACAACATCGTCAACACCAGTGAATCAATACCGAAAAGGATCTTTCTCGAAAACCTTGCTCGGGTTGGGCGTTCCCAGAGCCTGAGCGTCCTTTATTGCCTCCTCGGAGAAAGATGGTAGAGAAGGTGAGTGATCCATTATCACGGACCCGAGCTCCTCACTCGGGGTGCTCTGATTAGCTTCGACCCTCTCAGCACTTGTCCCCTCCGGCGTACTTGTTAAAGGAGGGGGTAAGATCTCGATCTCGGGGGACTCGAGGGCTTTGCCCGAGTTTTTCTTCGGAGTTCCTCCACCATGAAGCAAGGTCTCAGGTTCGGAGGACTTGGCGGCCTCGACTGGTTTCCTAGTTAGGGGCACTAGCGCCGACTATTCGCCCTTGTTCTCTTCATCTTCCAGATGTTGGATGGCTGAATCCAAGTCCACATGGATAAGTTTCCTCCTTGGCTTTCTAGTAGGGTCCCCCTCATCTTGTTCTTCGGGTTTTGGAGCCTTCTTTCTCTTGTTGTCTTTCCCCAATTTCAGAATCGGGGACTCAGTCCCTTCCCCAGGCGGGGCTGGCCTCATTTCGGAAACATCTGCGATGCCTGCACAAATAAACATGAATGAGATGACATCACCAATAAAGAGAAGTATCAAAAACCTGGGAAGAGAACTTACCATGATGTTTACCCTCCCATTTGCCCCTCGATAAATCACGCCATTTGCGCTCATCATACGAGGAGGTCGCAGCTAACTGCGAACCAGTCCTCGAGGTTAGGGATAGCGTGAGGCGTCCAAGCAATAGCTGTAGAAAAGGTAAAGGCATTACAAAACACGAAAGCGGAATATGAGTAGGTATTTGGAAAAGAACTTCACTTACGATTAAAATTCCATCTCTCCGGTAATGGCATTTTCTCCCTAGGGATGACATCCGAGGTCCTCACTGTAATAAACCGACTCATCCAGCCTCGATCTTTATCTTCATCGTTACTAGCAAAGAAGGCCTTTTTTGATCGACGTTGCAGCTTGATGAGCCCTCGAAACAGCTGGGGCCGATACAGCCGAATGAGATGGTTGTGGGTAAATTCTAGTCCCTCGGCCTTGCTGGAGAAATAACGCAGCATAATCACGATGCGCCAAAAGGAAGGATGGATCTGGCTGAGGTAACCTCGTACCTTTTGCAGAAATTGATCACTACTAGATCGAGGGGACCCAGTGTGAAGGGGTAAGTGTAAACACTTAAGAACCCCTCCACGTGGGTAGTGATGCTTTCCTCGGGTTTGGGATCTGTACCACGACCTCGTCTCCACAGCCGCAGTCCTTCTTCATGGCCTTGAGGTACTTCCTTAATATCGAACTGATATATCGAGATACATGTTCGCATCGGCCTGGGATATCGGGGGGATTTTCAATATTGAAATCCTTTTTTATCACACAAGGACCGGGAGTGATTTCGTGAAGAGCCGGCGGCACCACTGGTTTGGCCGGCCCGGAAGAAGAAGAAGATGGTGCTTTCTCCTTTTGGGGGACTGTTCCGGAAGTTTTGGCCATAGTTTTAAGCTAAGAAATGCAGATGGTGGCGGAGCGTGGTGTTTTTTAGGAACTTGGCATTTTCCGGCACTTAAAGGAGCGGTGGAAGTGGAGGATGACAGAAAGAGATGAAGATGAGAGGTGATCAGAGAAAAGCGATGAAGAAGTAAAGTTTTTAATTCAAAGAAGAACCCCGTATTTATAGATGAGCGGCGACGGTTCGGCGGTGCTAGTGGCCGACCAATACTGCATGCATTTAATGTTTTGGGGAAGCGAACCGACGGGATATTTCGGTCACTTCGAGCGCCTACGTCACGGGAATGACGCCATCGTCAGAGACTCCGGAAGATCATTGTTTCTTATCATCTTATTCAAAGAAACACGGGGACTATCTGTATACGGTCGAAATCAGGTATACCCAATTTCCCGTGCTCGAGGGGTTGCCCTAAGCCCGATTTCAGGCAAGGTTGAGTTCGAGCTCAATGGAACAGACTCGAGCTTGAAGATAGAGTGCAATGCCCGAGGAACGAAGTACAATAAGTATCGAAGTTCTCACCACGTCCCTAAGATCATGGCATAAATCCCCGAGCAGACTTGTACGTATCTGTACTAGGCTGGTTAGACAGTTGTCCCAATAAAATTCTTTATTGTAAATGAAAATATACCTTATTTAAGATTCCCTATTATATAAAGGGGACCCAATTATTTAAAAATATCATCTAATCATTGGCAAAGAATATACTCTCTACTTTTCGCTCATTGTTCATCAGAATTATCCTTTACCTTTATTGTTCTTGCTTCATTTCAAGATCACTGAGCTCGAGATCGATACCATTAAGTAACACTGATTTAATTCATTCATTTCTTCATTTCTACTTTATACTTCCTAATTATTAATTAATATTATACTAATACACATATTTTTAAAATCATAAATTAAATTTAATTGTTACTCGTATTTTCGAGATAAACAATGAGATCTCTTTTTGTCTTACAATTTTATTGACTCAAATTTTGTGGAGTCAAAAGTGTAAGATTGAGATCTACAAATTTGTGAGCCAAAAGGGAGCCTCGCGCAACTAGATAAAGCTTCCCCGTCTTATTTATTTCCCTGTGGGAGACTCGTCAGATTAAGGCCATAAACATGGTAGTGTTGCAAAATAAGAACACAGAGCGGAGCGAAATCTGTTAAACAGAAAGCAAAACGACTATATACATGAACGACTATATCATTCTTGTTTAGTTTAAACACGCCACTAGAAACACAAAAAACATCCACACATACACAGTCATATCTTGTTTGTTTTCGTCCTAAAGTTCATAGCCAGGGAACTTAGACTCAGATGGTTCAAGCAGATCCAGAAATAGATAAGCCATTCCTCCAATGCCTTCATACAAGGAGAAGGGATGATCGCCCGGATGCATAATACCCTCAGAGATAAAAGTATGAGCTCTATCATGGAGAAAGCAAGCAAATGCTTTTGCCTTGTACAAGTACTCCTCTTTACCTGTTAGCCTGTATAGTGAAAGAAAGACATAGGCATTGCCACTTATTCCATGACACAACCCAATTCGTTTAAGTAAACCTCGTCTCCACACTACTTCCCCTGCTTCTATGGCTGCTTTCTCAAACTCCTCATCACCAAAAACCTGAAAACAATGTGATAAATTTTGAAGGTTCTAAAAGGTAACAATGTAAAGAAATATGCTAATATCTTAATAGTTGTTGTTAGGTGCCAGCACTCTTTTATTCCTCTTGTAATACACATACCTTAGCTGCTTTTGCAAGGGTAAGAGCAACACCAGGAGCACCATGACACCAATGGACAAGATCATCTGATTCATCTCCTTCACTTGTACGATAATTTCCACTTTCGAACCGATTCTTGATCATGTAACGTAGCGCACCTTTAACATCTTCAATCTCATCTGGTTTGAGTTCCATGTCCAGTAGAACGTGTACAACACCAGCTAATCCATGAGCAGTTCCCCAGTACCTTTTCCCGTTCAACTCGTACATTAAAGGCGATTTCAGATTTTCTAACTTGGACAGTCTTCTACCTGACTTGATGAGTTCATTCACAACTGCTCTCTGAGAGGAAAAAATTAGTACACCAAGTTTAGGCATGCGCTATTGTTAATTAAGGTATCGACGAGTTAATTAAATTGGCTTATAAAGTTCTTTCTTACCATATGGGAGAGGGATATGGTGCCTTTACCAAGATGTTCATTTAAGAAAGAACATGACCATAAGTACCCTGCTCTGCCATAGAACAAGTCATTTGGAAGCTCTATTGTAAGTTTAATCTGGAAACAATCAAAATGGCAAATTAGTTAGGAAAAAAGACGAGCGCGTACTATTTTTTACGCCAATACTATTTTTTACTCCGAGAATAGATATATGTGAAAGAACACCAAAATGTCAACAAACGTTAAATTTGAAAGGAATAACAACATAATTTATAAATATTATTCCCTCCGTTTCATATTAAATGAGGTACTTTCCTTTTTAGTATGTTCAAAAAGGAAGACACATTTCTAAATTTGGAAATAATTCAACTTTAAACTCTTCATTTTACCCTTTTTGCCCTTAATGAGAAGCTTTTATAGCCACATAAATGGCATGATCCCACAAACCTTTTACCCCTTAAGCTTTTAAGACCATAAATTTCAAAAGTCTTCTTCTTTTTTCTTAAACTCCGTGCCGAGTCAAACTACCTCATCTAATATGAAACTTGAAACGGAGGGAGTATACACTATTAAACCCAGAATATTGGGTACCCTGTAATATATCTAATTATTCCGTCCAACTATGTTTGGAAGTGAAATAATTGTCTTTTCAATATAGTTGCATCTCTTTTCGGGGACTAGTTTTTGTTTCATTCTCAATGGCCTGAACTGAAGTCTTGTTTCTGTAATGGACCTATTCGTTAACATACCGCCGACCCATTTTCTATTAACATAATAATACCGAACCCTTACTGTAGCCCACTTTACTAAATCAGTTGCTCTATTTTTCGTAGCAACAATTAAGAATTGGCTTCTCCTACTTGCTAAGTCAAAAATTAAATCACAAGCTTCTGATGAAAAAACTAGTAGTTCAGCTAGTAAGATTTGTAATATGAATACTCTTACGCTTTGCAGAGATACAAGACACCATTCTATAGTAGCATGACCAAAATATCGAATTTAAGTCGTACTGAATCTCATTATCAAATTTGAAAGGAGCAAGGAGGAGGAGAGATGGGAGTACCTCCTTGAATTTGGTGAGAAAATCAGCATGTAAGTGATCATCACCACTAAGATTTGCAGCAACAGCACCAAGAGCATAAATACCAGCGTGACCCGTTACAAATGTAGGTGGTCTGCATACACCAATAACAATTCTAACTTCTTTTCTCTCTCCAAAATTCTACACAAATTAATATAATCATGAGAAAAAGATATATTATTAGTCCTGAATGTCATCCAAAGATAATTCAGTTTCTTGCTAACGTATTATGAATTAAGCAGTAAGAACTTGAAAAATAAATTGGATTAAATTGCGATACCCTAACTCAAGTTCCAATTTTAACAAAATAAGAAAGCACAAAATGCAAGCTAGCTTAAGTAAATGAAATAAGGGCTTGTTTAGAGAAGGGTAATTTATTATTTCCTTTTATTTGGGGCAACTTAAAGAAAACTAGGGCATAATAAAAGAGAAAAATATTGATATGTGACATTGGAATTACATTTTAGTTAGTCATGTTACCTTGTAATCTTAGTCTCTTAGTCGTCTGAGATTTATATGTCACTAAAAAAATAAAAAATTCTAAATAATTTCTAATGGTAGAGAAGCTTTTTCTCCTATTGTCATAGTTCTATTTTATTTTTAATTTTAATATATTGTACTGAGATAATATAAAGAGACATAAATAGTTAGTGAGAAACTATATAACCGACATCAACTTGCTTCGGAATATACCCGGAACCATGGCAAACAGCGTCACAAGCTTGAATTATTTCACAGCAAAGAGATAGATCATCCTTGTTCCCTGTAACTTGGTATGATTTAAATAGTAAATAGGCAGTCCCTAGAGTACCAGTGTAGAGTGTATAGTCATATACACGTCTTCCTTTAGCTGCCCATGTCTCCCTGACAACCTATATATAGGAAGCAAATTAACACATAATAATTAAATAATTCAGTTGCTAAAACCCCATAATAAATACAAGAAGAAAAATAAAATAAAAAATACTTCATCTTTGAGGTTAAGAGCATCTTCTTTGAGTCTTTTGGAAATAGTGTCATAAGGAAGAGAAAGAAGGTTGGAGAGTGAGTCTTTTGCATTTTCAGGAGGAGCCATTTCTTGAATTGAATTTTCAGGCATTTCGTTAGGGTAGTAACGCTCTCCCATCTTTCTGCTTTGTGTTTTTTCTGTCTACTATTGTTTCTGTTCGGTGACACACAAAAAATGTTAGACGGTATACTAGTTGAACATATATATAGAAAAATCTTTAGAACTATGTGGAGGATGAGATAGTATTTTGTTTGGAAGCTAGTAGGATAAAGTACAACAAGTAACAAGAAACGTATCGGTACTTGCATTGCTACTTTTCTAACACATTGCATATGACTTGGCACTTCCCTGGACAACTTTTTAACCATGCAGAAAGAGAAGGATAAAATATGTTGCGGTAAGTCTGATCCAACTTTTTTTGGCACTAACGTGGAGCAATTTTTCACCATGTAGACAGAAAAAGATAAAAAAAATTGTTGGGGGTAAGCCTGATCAAACTATCAAGAAAACAAAGTACGTGAATTAAAATGGTACAATTCAAATTTGATAAGATACTATTGTTAATTCTCACAAATCTGGAGAATTTGATGAAGAAGAAAGAGCTGCAACGCAAGGAGTAGAGAGAGAAAAGAGGGAAAGAATTTTCTTTATTACTGTGTTAACCACCATATGTCCAAATACACTAGACATTTATATAACTAACCAACTGCTAACCAAACAACTACACTAGTTAATTAGCTTAACTATAGTTAACACCTAATGACACCTACTATAGTTAACTAAGTGACAGCTGTGCAATTACTACGCTCCTTTACACCCCCCTCAAGCTAGGGGTGATGAAGATGTTCTTCATCCCTAGCTTGGACAAAAGATAACGATGTTAAGAATAGTGAGAGCCTTGGTCAGAATATCAGCTTGCTGCTCGGAGGATGGCAGATACTGGACATGGACTAGGCCTTTGAAGCACCTTCTCGCAGATGAAATGACAATCAATGTCGATGTGTTTAGTGCGCTCATGAAATACGGGATTGGCAGCAATCTGAATAGCGGACTTACTATCACAGTGGAGAGAAATAGGCAACTGAATATCCACAGCTAATTCTTGGAACAGACCGGCGAGCCACACAAGCTCAACAACAGTGGCAGCAAGACTGCGGTACTCTGCTCCAGCAGAGCTCCTAAAGATAGTGGTTTGCTTCTTGGATTTCCAAGAAATAGGAGATGCACCAAATTTAATCATATAGCCTGTGAGGGACCGCCTCGTGACAAGGCAAGAAGCCCAATCAGCATCGCAAAAGGCTGTCAAGGTATTCGAAGCAACAGAAGACATAAGAATGCCCATACCAGGAGAAGATTTGATATAGCGAACCAAACGAACAGCAACCTCCATATGCGAAACCTTTGGAGAATGCATGAACTGGCTGAGATTTTGTATGGCGTAGGCAATGTCTGTCCTAGTAATGGTAAGGTACAAAAGCCTACCCAACAAGCGTTGATAGACACTGGGATCACCTAGCAAGGCATCAGAAGTATCACCAATATGTTTGTCAAACTCAGACGATGTGAGCTTGTGACTAAGTTCTAAAGGAGCACCCACATATTTTGCCCCAGCTAGTCCCATATCGGAGATGAGCTCTAAGGCGTACTTCCTTTGGTGCATAAGGATACCCTCTTTACTCCGAGCAAATTCAATGCCAAGAAAGTACTTGAGTTCCCCTAGATCTTTAATTTTGAAACTCTGCTGCAGCTTGTTTTTGGTTTCTTCTATCAAACTCAAATCATCACCTGTGATAAGGAGATCATCGATATAGACTAGAATCACAATAGTCTTCCCACTAGACCTCCTGGTAAAAAGAGAATAATCTAAATGGCTCTGAATGAATCCAAAAGAGAGCAAGGCAGTAGTAAGCTTCAAGTTCCATTGCCGTGAAGCCTGTTTAAGGCCATATAAAGATTTAAGAAGTCGACATGCAGTTTGCTTCCCAGCAGTAGATTTGAATCCTTGTGGCAAGCTCATATACACATCTTCGTGAAGATCCCCTTGCAAGAAAGCATTGTTGACATCCATTTGATGGATAGTCCAATGCTTGACAGCAATAATAGAAATAACAGCTCGTACAGTCACCATTTTAACGACAGGGGAGAATGTCTCTTGGTAATCAAGACCGTCCTGCTGGCTGTAACCTTTAGCGACTAATCGAGCCTTGAACCTTTCAACTTCCCCAGTAGCCTTATATTTGATTTTATATACCCACTTGCATCCGATGGCCTTTGCCTTCTGGTAAAGGAACCACTTTCCAGGTGTTATTATCCTCTAAAGCCTTGATTTCAAGTTGCATAGCCTCAAACCATCGAGGATCCTTAGCTGCTTGAGCATAAGTTGTGGGTTCAACTTCTGCTGAAAATCTGGTGAGAAAGCTTTGATAAGTAGGTAAAAGTGAATCATAAGAGATGACAGCAGAGATAGGATGAGAGCAAGTCTGAGCAGCCTGAGACTTGGCAGGAATAACAAAATCTTTCATCCATATGGGAGGCTTGGAAGTTCTGTTAGATTTACGAAGTCCTGAAGGTGGTGCTGGAACAACCTCTTGTGAAGCAGGAACTGAATCAGGAAGTGTTGCATCAATATTAGAGGAATGAAGAGGCTTTGTGACTTCTGTGAACAACTGACCAGCCTCATCATGTGAATTTGGAGGAACTGGAGCAGGATGGAAATGAATAGAGGCATCATCTATCTGTAGAGAATATGCAAGCATCAACTTCCTCTAGGAAGGACATCTCAGTATTGCTTTGTGTAGTCTTGAATGGGAAAATGGATTCATTGAAGACAACATCTCTACTAATGAATACCTTGTGTGTCTCAAGATCATAGAGTTTATAGCCCTTTTGAAAGACACCATAGCCAAGTAGGACTGACTTAATGGCCCTGGGACTGAACTTATCTTGCTTGGGTAGAGTAGAGGCATAACCTAAGCATCCTATTACTCTCAGTTGTGATAAAGATGGAGTACGATTATACAGAACCTCAAAAGCAGATTTGTTGTTTAAGACAGACAAGGGAACTCTGTTGATGATATACACTGCTGCTTCAATACAACAGCCCCAAAATCTTGAGGGCAAACCTCCTTGGAACTTGATGGCCCTAGCAGTCTCAAGGATATGTCTGTGCTTTCATTCGACCACTCCATTTTGCTGAGGTGTTTATGGACATGACCTTTGGTGTATAATCCCATAGGTATTGAACAGATCTCCACAAGTAGAGTTAAAAAACTCTCACCATTATCAGACCTAACTACTTTGATATGCTTTTCAAACTGATTCAGAACCATGACAATAAATGACTTTAGCAAACAAGAAACATCTGATTTAACTCTCATCATAAAAGTCCAAGTCCATCAAGAGTAGTCACCCACAACAGTAAGAAAATACTGCATACCATCATAAGTAGCAATGTTATAAGGACCCCAGACATCCATATGTAGCAATTGAAAAGGTTCAGTAGATCTGCTAGTATGTGTTGGAAAAGCAATCCTAGTTTGTCTAGCTAGTGGACACACATCACATTGTTCAAAGTAAAGCTAAGCTTATTCTAGAAAAAAGAAATCTTCCTTAGAATAGCCATAGGAACATGGCCTAGTCGTTTATGCCAAATCTCTGAATCTGTAATATTTTGTACTGCCATAGATTTGCTGTGAGTATGAAAATCATTCCTGGACCTTGTCTTCAACACATATAGGCCATCATGTTCTCTACCAATCGCCTTCAGCTTCCCACTGAGGAGCTCCTGAAATACAAAGAAGTCTGGATAAAATGCTGCACAACAATCCTTTGTCACTTTTGAAACTGACAGAAGATTGAATTTAAAATTGGGCACACATAACACATCTTTAAGTAGTTCACCTCCAGGCGTTTCACAATCCCCCACATGAGTAATTCTAGCAGTCTCTCCAGTTGGCATTTGAACCTGTCCTGAACTTCCTATTTCAATACCATTTAACAACAACTGGTTATTGCTAATCATGTGATTAGTAGAACCTGTATCCACTATCCAACTAGATTCCTTTGTAGGAATAGAACAGGAAGTACCTGCCATATGTGCACTAGGAAAAGATTACCCGCCATGTGAGCACTAGATTTTGAAAAAGATGACTTGTTGTTTAACATTTGCAAAATCTGGTTATACTGATCAGGTGTAAACACAGGAGGTTGTGGCATTGTTGGTTGTTGTACAGACTGCACTTCTATCTTAGCCAAGTGACCACTAATAGAAGCCCCTTTCTTCTTTGATTTAAAATCAGCCGGATAACCTATGATCTTATAGCAATTCTCCTTGAGATGGCCTTTCATGTTACAATAGTCACACTTCATAAGTTTGTAACATCCTTCTCTAGTGTGGCCCTTCATGTGACAAAAATCACACTCGACATTATAGTTTCTTCGCTGCTTCTGAGTGTTATTCCTAGAAGTAAACAGGGTTGTTGGTTCCATAGACTCAATAGGAACAGTATGACTACCAGCAACAATTTTTTGACTTTCATCTTGCAAAATCATGGCATAGGCCTGTTTCACAGAAGGTGCTTTACTCTTCATCAATATTTGGCTTCTAGCTTGACTATAACCATCATTCAAGCCCATCAAAAACTGCCAAAGATGTTGATACTGTAAATGCGCAAGGTGTTTTTTTGATTTTTCACAGTCACAAGGAGGAGCTGGAATAATTGAGTCATATTCATCCCATAAATCCTTCAACTTTGAATAATATGTCGATACTGATGATGTTCCCTGAGTTAGGGTAAAAATTTCTTTATGAAGATAATACATTCGTGAAGAATTCACTTTATCAAACCTCTCACGAAGATCTTCCCAGATTGCTCGCGCACTTGAGCAAAACAGAACTCCACTTAGCAAATCACGACTTACATTGTGCATTAGCCACAATTTGACAATCGCATTGCAACGATCCCACAAATGATTGAACCTCGTTCCAAAGGTGTCTCTAGCGATCGAACCATCCACAAAGCCCAGCTTGTTTCGTGTTAGCAACGAAAGTTCCATAGCTTGGCTCCAAAGTGTGTAGTTTTCCATTCCGATCAATTGAAATCCCAATAATAACGAACTCGGTCCATCAGAAGGATGCAAATATAGCAGATGATTGTGATCAATCACAATCGATTCCTGCATGGTCGATTGTTCTTCAAAATCACGTTCTTCGACTGTATCTCCTGCCATTGAAATTAGGGCACAAATTTGCAAACAGATTTTTCGGTAAATCTCTCGATTTTCAGCTGAATTGATGAAGAAACCCCTAGATTCACACGATTAAAGCTCTGATACCATGTTAATTCTCACAAATATGGAGAATTTGATGAAGAAGAAAGAGCTACAACGAAGGAGTAGAGAGAGAAAAGAGGAAAAGAATTTTCTGTTATTACTGTGTTAACCACCACATGTCCAAATACACGGTACATTTATATAACTAACCGAACAACAACACTAGTTAATTAGCTTAACTATAGTTATCACCTAATGACACCTAACTATAGTTAACTAAGTGACAGTTGTACAATTATTAAACTCCTTTACAACAATTTGTGACACTCTATGGAACTGTGCCACAATCCTAATATCACATTAAAGGAATACCTCTAGAGTGGACCAAACTTTTTGCATCGATCGATTTTACGAGGCTTTTAAAATGATGATTTCGATTGCAGCACGTATTTCTATTTTTAATTCATAGGTGTGATTGATCAAGAGTAAAGAATAAAATTACTGAAGCTAATACTATTGAAAGAATAAAACGAATAGGAAACGAAAATCCAACAAAACGTTAATAAACTCGCTAGATAAAAATGATTGAAAAATTAAAGAGTTAATTAAGGAGTCAAATGATATACATCTACATAAGGCTTTGCATATTTGGAAGAGGGAAATTTATAGGATATAGCATTACTACTTTGCCCATGACAAGTTCATATTTGGGACAAAACTAGTACTACTCCCTCCGTTCTAATTTATGTGAACCTGTTTCACTGGGCACGAAATTTAAAGAAAAATAAAGACTTTTGAAACTTGTGATCCTAAACAAGTCCAAAAGGGCCCATAGTATTTGTGTGGTTTATGTTTCTCATTAAGAGTAGAATTGTAAGTTTAAACTAAATTGTTTCCAAATTTAGAAAGGAGTCATTCTTTTTGGAACGAACCAAAAAAGAAATAAATTCACATAATCTGGGAACGGAGGGAGTAGTATTTAATATTTTCTTAAGGAAATAAATAGGTTAGGGAATCTACCTAGATTTGAGGTGCAGGAAAGCCAACTTTATTCATGTGCCCGTCCTTCCAAACAGAAACCATCACTTCCAGTACAAACACAAAGGTAATACATCCACATTAGGTAACATAGTTACATGGCTGATTCTACAGCATATTCCGTATGTACAAAACTAGAGTTCATATGCAGGGAACCTCGTTTCCATTGGTTCTATCATGTCGAGAAAGAGATGAGCCATTCCTCCAATTCCTTCAAACAGTGAGTACGGGCGATCACCTCCATGCATAACTCCCTCTGATATAAGTGTTTGAGCTCTAGCATGCAGAAAGCATGCAAATGCCTTCGCCTTGTACAAGTACTCCACTTTACCTGTCAAACGATATAGTGAAAGAAATACATAGGAATTCCCACTGACACCATGACAAATTCCAACCCGTTTTAGTAGGCCCCGATTCCAAACCACCTCAGCCGCTTCTGCAGCTGCCTGAAGAAACTCGTCACTGCTGAAAACCTGAAAATTTATAACAGATGAGCCAATGATTCAGAGAGTTGGGTAAAGGATTTAAGGATCAAAGTGAAACATCCACAAGGATTAGGCAGTGACTTGCACCATCCTAAGCAAAGTCCAACTTTCAGCTACAGCGTAATATAATTGGATCTTCCTGTTAACTTTTTAATGAAGAGGAGAGTATTGTGATATAGGCTTGTCATAACAATCAAAAGCCCCTCCTAATGTGTGCAACCTCACATATCAGAAAGTCATTCCAGGCAAGGAGTTACTGTAACCATTAAAATTACCATCAAGAGTACTCTGTTACTGCAATTACAAAAAAGTATCACAACTAGTATTCCATACCTTAGCTGCTTTGATTAGAGTAAGGGCAACACCTGCAGCACCATGGCACCAATGCACAAGTCGGTCAGATTCACTTCCTTCACTTGAGGGGTAATTTCCACTGGGAAAACGATTTCGGATCATGTAATGCAGTGTGGCCTTCACATCCTCGGCCTCGTCTGCTTTCAGTTCCATGTCCATAAGTACATGCATTATCCCAGCCAGCCCATGAGCAGCGCCCCAGTATTTTTTTTCATGCCATTCATACATTAGAGGGCATCTTCCTTTCCCCATTTTTCGTCCGGACTTTATTACCTCAGCAACAACTGCTTGCTGCATAAAAATTTGCAACCAAATTAAGAGTCCGTAATAGTGAGGTATAAGACGCCAAAGGTGATTAAAATTTGTGAAATTTCTTACAATTTGGGTCGGAGATATTGTATCTCTACCAATATTCTTGTTTAAGAATGAACATGCCCACAAGAAACCAGCTCTCCCGTACAACAACTCATTCGGAAGATCTTTAGGAAGCTCAATCTGCGTTTATAGGTAGAAAATGACGAGAGAATTGACATCACAGAAAACCCACTTCGTGGAACAATGAAAAGGACATAATGATGGAAACTGAGGACCGGCGTTGCTAAGGCAGGAGTATATATCCACCTCTTTGAATTTTGTTAGATAGTGGTCGCACAACTGTTCATCTCCACTGTGTTTGGCAACAACTGCACCAAGAGCATAAACACCAGCCTGTCCACATATGAAGGTCACACGCCTGCAGCTTCACAAATTAGAGTTCAACTTATCCTCATGTATTCCTTAAAAACTTTCTATGTTGGAGATCATGAAACAGAAACTTCTGTTAATGTTTGGTCGAAACATTTGACTAGTGCTGACTTAAGATTTCTTTTTACCCAAATATCAGAACGACTAAAGAGGAAAGAGAAAACGCAGAACACCAACAAGTAGGCCAAATCATAACCAAAAAAATTAAATGCACAAAGAGAGATGCTAGATCCTTTTTAATCATTAAATAGGAGGACTAGTGACTCACAAACAAATTTGCTCTGTAAAACTTGTGACACCAAAAGCTTTACCCTCCAATCCCCATTAATCTACAAGAGATCCTACCAATTGTTAGACACTAATGTACTTGATGGTCTTCCCTATCCCATACAACATTAACCATTTATTACATAACTATAGACGGCAGTAATTGAGACAAGATATTTAGACTCACTAAAAAATAGTAGGAATTTTAACTTAAAATTAAAAGTAAGGATTTTAGAAGAAAGAACAGAATAAACAAACAGATAATGGACCTTCTACACATATCCATTTCCTCCTCCTCCATTCAGCTTCTTCGCCTTTAATTTCCTTCCTATTTTGGCCAATCCACATAAGAATTTTATGTATGCGGCTTGATGATCATTTAGAAGATTTCCAGTCATACACTAACTATTTAAACCTCAATATGTCTACTTGTCTATCAATTGACTTATTGTGAGAGTACTTAGATATCATCCAAATGAGTTATTTACAATAAAGATGAATTTTCATGCAGGCTAATTAAAACCACAAGATATGTTCTCATTTTTCTTTAGACAAGACAAATCAAATTTAAGCTCAAAAAAATTTGGTTTCCCCCTGCAAATTGCGCGGGGAGAGAGATTGGGGAAGAGGGGTTACCCAGAACCATGGGAAGCAGAGTCGCAAGCCTTGATAATATGAGAACAGAGAGCAAGATCATTGTTGTCCCGAGTAACTTGGTAAGCTTTAAATAGCAAAAAAGCAGTTCCCAAAGCTCCGGTATAAAGTGTATAGTCACTCACACGTCCCCCTTTACATACCCACGTTTCCTTCACAATCTGAAACATACCACAAAAAAATTAATAAACAAAAGGAATTTACACAAACACCTTGTAGGCACTCGATACTTGGGTCGAAAATAACACTCCCGCCGTTGCAATTCATGTGAACTTTTTGCTTTTTAGTTGATTTAAAAAAATGATCCTTTCTAAATTTAAAACTACACAAGTTTCAAAATTCTTTTATTTTTTCCTTAAAATTCATGTCAAGTCATATAAATTCGCATAAACTGAAAGGGAGGAATTACTTCGTACCGTTTCTTTGAGGTCCAGAGCAGCACTTTTGAGCTTCTGACAAACGGTTCTATAGGGCAAATGAAGAAGCTTCGACAGCTGATCTTTTGCTCCTTCGGGAAATGATTGTTGGACTGTAGTTTCATCGACGAAGACAGGCATGGTGTTTGGGAAGTAACGGTCAGCCATCTCTTTGATAGCTCTGTCTTTTGCGTAGCAGATTCCCGTGAATAAAATAGTTACTCACCCCGTTCCGTGAGTTTAAAAAGACTTTAAAATTATGAAATTTGTAATTTTAAATAATTTATTAGTATATTTTGCAGATGACATAGTATTGATTGACGAGTCGCACGTGATGGTGTTAATCATAGGTTAGAGGTTTGGAGGCAAACTTTAGACTAAAGATTTCAGGTTGAACAGGACTAAAACAGAATACTTGAAGTACAACCCATGACGCTGACATGAAGGTGAAGCTTGATACACAAGTCACTCTTAGGAGAGAAAGTTTCAAGTATCTGGGGTCTATAATCCAAAGCAACCGGAGATTGACAAAGATGTCACACATCGTATTGGAACGGGATACACGAAATGGAGGCTCGCATCATGGATCCTAAGTGATAAGAATATACCATCGAGTTTTAACGGTTAAGTTTTACATAGTGGTGGTTAGATCAACTATGTTGTATGAGGCGGAGTGTTCGTCAGTCAAGAATTCTGATGTGCAGAAGATGAAAGTAGCGGAAATGAGAACGCTGAGATGGATGTGTAGACATACCAGGAGAGATAAGATTAGGAATGAAGATACTCGAAATAAGGTTGGAGTGACCTCAATAGTGGACAAGATGCAGGAAGTGACACTAAGATGATACGGGCATGTGAAAAGGAGATGTACTGATGCACGAGTAGGGAGATGTGAGAGGTCGACCATGGTTGGTCAAAGGAGAGGTAGAGACATGCCGAAAAAGTAGTGGAAAGAGGTGATTATGAAGGACATGGCGCAACTACAACTTACCGAGGACATGATCCTTAATAGGAGGGTGTGAAAGGTCTAGAATTAGGGTAGAGGGTTAGTAGGTAACCATAAGTTTCCTTTTTATAGTATTAGTATTACGCCCGCTTTCTCTTATTCTTAGACTAGTTCTGGTTACTTCCGTTGCACGTGTATTTCGTGTCAATAGGTTCAATTTTTTTTTAAAAAAAAAAATTATAAACATTATCAAAACATGTGATTGAAGAATAAAATAAAATTTAAAGGAAAAAAAATCCAATTTCAAAATAATATAAGGTTTTAGTACCTTAATAACACTCTCCAACCATTCCTTGCCTAAAACTTCTCCATAGGAACGGTTGATGGACTTGCTGGAGAGTGTATGTGTCAACTCTCAAGGCAAAGAAGCATGCTGGCTCTTTGGCCACCGCACTCCCAATTCATTGTCAGACAAAACATAAATACATTAGTATTTGCTTCATAGCAAGATATAAAAAGAAAATGACCCCTTATCCCTCGTTATCTTTCTAGCTTTGACATTCCCTGTTCGTTTCTCTTCTAACTATACAACTTGATAGTACAAGCCACAACCCAGAATTTCAACCTTGTTTTCATATCTTCAGAATCATCACCTGAAAGAGTTAGTAAATTACCAAAAGATATTAACACATGGTCAAAAAAATTACTAATGGAATGATATTTATTGCTTATTTGGCAACAAATTAGACGATGAAATTAGTAAATTCTCAGATCACTGAAAAGACAAAGTATACCATCTGATAAAAGTGGTAATCAGACTTTTTATATGTTAACATTTGAATGGATTTGTTTCATACAAATATTATTTATAGTGCCTCCAAATCCCATCAATGAATGGTACACTTAAAATAAAAGACCAATCCATAACAGCTCAAGTAATTCAACCGCATAAATCAATTTACACATACCCATGAGTACCTCCCACAAAATTGAGACCAACATCAGTTAATAAGATTCTACTCCATAGCATAATGAGAGTTCACTTCAAGTTTCATATATACAGATAAAGACATCAAAATATAAAGAGAGAGGAAAGAGTAAAGAGTACTTCCGAAAGTTCCTTACTCTCCGAAAGTTTCATTTACCGCCACAGATACGGAGAAAGTTGATATTGGTGTATAGAGGATGTAAAATTTCGAAGAATATGAACCGCTACTTGTTAGATTTTTTTGGATATCCAAAACTTGAATTACTCTATATCTCAAGATTCTTCACTATATATCGGTAAATTAAGCACAATATTATGTACATAACAACATACAGATAAGAAAGAACATGAATATGACTCTTGCCTCTTGGTAATTACTGCTCATTCAACCAAAGGTGAGATAGTAACGATAGTCTCTTCATTTGCTCATAATTTCAGATTACTTGCACTTGATAAATAATTGTTCAAATGTCTTTTATAATAACTAATTTAAAATTCTATATTGGTTTTGAAGAGCACAATAACGGCAGGTAATTGAAGAGTCTAACCACCATTATCATTGTGATTAACCGTTACAATTTTTCAATATCTTCACCTTTTTTGTATTTATTAGAATGTAAGTTACATTTTTGTACCAAAATTTGTATAGGAGTAGGATTGATTGAGGGGCAAAACTGTCAATTAGCTTTTGATGGGTAAATTTATAAATCAACTTCTAACTTAGGGTGTTCATACTTTTAGTATAGTATGATATGATATGATGATGATGATTTCTAGTAATACATGTTGTTTGCTTCAGTTATCCTATTTTTCTTACTGTTTTTACTTCCTATTTTTCTTGCTGTTGTTACTTCTTCTTTTCCATTGCTTCGCCACTATTTTATTTCTTTTTAGCCGAGAGTCTAGCTATTGAAAATGGCCTCTCTACCTTCACAAGGTATGGGTAAGCTAAGGTCCGTACACATTACCCTCTCCAGACTTCTCGTGTATTACTGTGTATGTTGTTATTGTTGTTGTAAATATTTTATGGTATTTGTGATTATAAGTTTTTAAAATTTATGATTTTTAAATATTCACAATTATACAATTAGTAAGTCGTAAGTAATATTTAAAATTTTTAAAATTAACTTTTAAGTACTAGTTTTCAATGAACTAAAAATTTAGGATTTAGGGTCAGCAAAATATGAAAGAGAGAAGGCAGGTGAATCACAAATACTGCTTGATACTAAGAAAAATGAAAAATGCACAGAAACTTGACAAGGCAAAAGCAGTTAAAAGAGCAAGAAGATCGAAAGAAAGGCAGAAAGCAAATGTAGAGCTGGTCGTATAATATTGCAAAAAGATATTAACAATGGTGAAAAGTCGGATAAGTCCTCATCCCGGAGAGTTTTTTCAAGGGTAAACCATGACATATGAACAATGTGTTGAGACATAAACTCAGTCCAGCATAAAAACCTTAAACCACTACACGACCGTGAACGTCAAATTTCCCAACGACGAACACACAGTGACGCCTGCATCAAGCTCAGACCGGCGATTTGGCAGGTAGTCCTTTTCCGTCACCCTAAACTGGTTGATCATGCTTTAAAATTTTTACGGAAGATATCCACCATAAATTATCTTAATTCGGATTGGAAAAGTATCAACTCTGATGCTAAGTCTGACGCGACAAATTAGATCTAATAGAGAATGAAATTGAATTTTTTGCCCTCTATGTGCTTGATAGCATGGGGGAATGAATGAATGAATGTGTAGACTGGCAATTCTTTTAGGTGGTTGGCCCTTGTATTATTTCTTTTTAATGCTAGAAAAATATTAGAATATGATTGTGGGGCTTCAGTAGGTAAAGATCCATATAGGTGATATTTACTTGCTAGGAATAGATTTTAAACTTGTTAGAGAACTTCTAATATAATTTATTTTTTACTTGTATTTTGTTTGGTATGATGATGACGTGAGCGTATTGGGGAAAATTGTATTTATATATATATGGTGACGTGTTATGACACGTAGACTGGTCAAACAGTCAAAGAATTAAGGTTGGTTAACAGATACGAGCAACAACAGATACGCGCAATAACAGGTACGAGCAACAACAGATACGAGCAAGTTAAATGGAGAAGGCACGAGCAGTCATACAAGTAATTCAATGCTCGTACCTGTTGAAGACATTTAAAGGCCAAAGATCGTGAAGAGTCAAAGGAATGAATCTGACAGCAAAAAAGAGCCCAGATACAACATTTAATAAGTATTAAATACTGGAAACGTTAGAGAATATGTATTTAATGTATATGATTGCATAACGTAACATTTAAAGTCATTAATTGCCCATAATTGTCTTATTATGACAAAGGTAAAGTCTGTATTCCCAAAATGCTATAAAAGGGAAAGTCACAAACAACTATAAGCAAGAAAAAAACACTATTGGAATATACTTCGATTTACTTGCTTTCTGATTATATTATTCACAAATTTCTTTCTTTATATATTCTTTTCCGATTATCAGTAACTCGAGTTCTTCTAAATTCAAGCTTTGACCTAAAATCTAATTTTTGGTTAAACGAATTGGTTCCGTTACCGGGAATCTGATAATCAATTATACCTCAACCTGATTTTCTTGATTGCATCAATCATGTCAAACAACAATGACAACACTCAAGGAAACCCAGAAATTCAAACAATCCAACAACTTCAGGGAGACTCTCCACGAGGCTCTCCACGAGGCTCCCCACGACGGTCTCGTGAAGGCACTCCGATGGATCTCACACAGACGGACATGCTCAATTCGAAAATGTTGAAACCATGAATGAGGCTTTGCAAAAACTTATTGCCTCTTAAGTCAATAAAGCTCTTCAGGCTTTTGATAGCCAATTACCTGCTGCTCCACCCACATCTACTCCAAACAACAATACTTTGGAGAATCCTCGTTCTGGATTGGTTAATTCAGGCAGCGGTGGAATCCCTAGTGAATCACAAGAGGGAGACCCAGGTAATCCAGTTAATTCTGATTTACAAAATCTAGTACTAACCTTGCAGAAACAGCTTAAGGAGCAAAATGAACGCATAGAACAAATACCCGGAGTACCGCCCGTGATCAAGGGAGTAGATATAGATAAATATTCCCAACAACCATGGAAGCCAAGTGCTGCCCCCCTCCCAATTCCAAAGAAGTTTAAGATGCCTGATATTCCAAAGTACGATGGTACATCAGATCCACGAGATCACGTTACTGCATTCACAACAGGTGTCAAGGGCAATGATTTGACTAAGCAAGATATTGAATCGGTCTTGGTCAAGAAATTCGGTG